TTAGGACTGGAGCACCTACATTTTTAGCTGGGAGAGAATACCAGCTCCCAGCCCCTCCCCAACCGGCTCTCATTAATTCTTTTTGGTTTCTGGGTCGTGTCGTTGGAGGTAGATCAGGAAGAAGCCCACAGCCAAGAACAGCAGCAGGAGAAGCAGGAAAGGCAGCAGCTCGAGCATGGAGTGCAGATGCAAAATGGGCATCCTTCGTCTATGCGCCCCGCCACCAGGGAAAGCGCTCCGCTGGGCCGAGCCGGCAGATCCCCCGGCCGCTGCTCTTACTTTTCAACCTCTCTGGCGTCTGGCGGCAACTCCCGACAGACGGATTCTTTCCATGGCTTGCAACCCCAGAGGGTTTCCTCTTAGGTCATTTCCTAGCAAGCCCAACCGAAAGGGGGAGGACAGACTGTGACAGTGCAGCGGCAACAGCGGCACCTGCCGGACGAAGAGTCCTCGACTCTCCTCCCACCCTTGCTCGCGTTCACACAAATGCAATGAAAACCACATTAACCCTCTCTTTTTCAGGAGGAGCAAGTTCTTCGTTCCAGGAGCGCCGTTTCAGGTTGCAACGGAGGGAGGGTGTTTCTCACCAAGGTGAGATATCATTCCTGATTAGTAGTTAACACGTTAACAGAGGCTTCATACGTGGAAATGGGCAGCTGAAGTTTTTCATGGAATGGGAGTAAAAAGAAAAATCACATGGCAAATAACATCCCATGAAGCCTCTGTGAAAAGAACAGGGCATTTCCCCTCTCTAGGTTGCTGGCAGTCCTAGAGGTAGCCCCCATTCAGCCCACTGCAGCAGAAATAAGAGAGTCTTGTAGCACCCTGAAGAACATTTTATTCCCAAAACCAAACAAGGACCCACGGTAAGTAGGAAAACCAACATACAACAAATACCGTGCACAGATGATTATAACATATCATAAATAATTTTATATTTTTTGAAAAATATTTTTACAATAATTTCTTCATATATAATTAATCATCTTAATCACAATTCACAATAGAAGAGATATCAACAAATATCAAATATCATCTCCATAGAAGGCGATTGGAGGAAGACAGAGCACATTGGAGGAAGACACACATGTTATAAAGAGACTTTAAGGAGTCCTCCCTTTTGAAACTTTTATTTAACAGAGGACTATTATTAATTATAAGGTTGTACAATATCTTTTGAGATTCTATGGAGATGATATTTGATATTTGTTGATATCTCTTCTATTGTGAATTGTGATTAAGATGATTAATTATATATGAAGAAATTATTGTAAAAATATTTTTCAAAAAATATAAAAGTATTTATGATATGTTATAATCATCTGTGCACGGTATTTGTTGAACATTTTATTCCAGCATAAGTTTGTGTAAAAATTGCATCTGAACAAGTGGGCTCTAGTCTACAAAACCTTATGTCTGAACCCTCTTTGTATTGTATTGATGCTTATTACTGCTCTAACCAGGCACATTTAGTTGTATATACTAATGGTTACTCTGTATAGAACCACTGAGTTTGCAGATACACAGGTTGCCCCTGGCCACCGGTGGGGGATGTGGGGTAAGGTGGTCAGATCCAGGTTGGGAAACTCCTGGAGATTTGTGGGTGGAGCCTGGGTAGGACAGGAACCTCAGCTGGGTACAATGCCACAGAGTCCACCCTCCAAAGCATCCATTTTGTCCAGGGGAACTGATCTTTGTAGTTTGGAGGTGAGGTGTAATTCCCCAGGGCCCACCTGGAGGCTGGCATCCCTAACAGGTAATTCTGAAAATAAGCACTGTATGAATGAAAGTTTTAATCTACTCTTCCTGAATTGCAACAGTACTTCATTCCAGGACCTTCCTACAATGACCAATCAGGGACCAAATGGAGAGAACTCGCATGGATTTAGGTAGAATTGATACCATCCTTATTAGGAAAACATTCAGTACACATAAATAAACATAGTACATTACACAAGTAGGTGCAGATGGAGGGGAAGCATGCCACATACAGAAAGTCACTATCTTATGACCAAATATGACAAGATTTTCCATTCAGTTTGGTAAATATTACATCCACAACACCCCTCCCCCACTCTGTATTTATAGAGGCAGGGATCCAATAATTCCCTTTCTACTAAGCATTTAAGTGTTGCCTTGCTATCCTGGGACCAGCCAAAGTAGGCCATTTTGATAAGCCTTTAAAAACCTCACCCCATCATATCTTTGCTTCATCTTAACCCCTCCTTTGTCACAACTTTGCTACTCCTAGTTTATGAGTATTCCCTGTGGGGGAGGAAGACACTAGAAGGCAGGTGACCGTGCTCTAGAGCAGGTTCTGGAGCCGTAAAACACTCCTGGGACAGGCCTACTGGTGACTACTGAGAGCGACTGCATGGTGGAATTCACAGCTCCAGGACACATTCAAGTCTCCTTTGGAGATGAGTACTCTACAAGGGCTGATAATGGAAGTGGCAATAGCTCTTGCAAAAGGCCTCCAGTTCAATCCCAGGTGAGCCCCTGCCAGTTAGGGTAGGGGGACTGATGCCTTGTCTTCAGAGGAAGCTTCAGATGATTAAAATAGGCAGACAGTTGAAACAGGTTGTATTCGCACTTACTTTTCCAAAAAACAGCAGTAGTCCACTCCCACATTAGCTTCGGCGGCAAGCACTGTGTTTCTCTGTAATACGCACTGAGAAATAATGGATGATCCTTCAAGTGTCAAAATAAATCCACGCCATGTAATAGTCTCTCTCTGTTTCTCTTCAATGGCAGCTTCCTGTTAGAAGCCCTATGGGCACTTTCCTTGTAAGCAACAAAATAAATAGTACTAACCCTGCCTTCCTGTGCTGTATTTTGCTCTCTGTCCCCAGCCCTCTGTCTGCACCAGTTAGGTCAGCCATATCTTATTTTAATAGTTCTTTCATGCCTCCTGGATTGACCAAGATTATGCTGATCTCATTAGACACCACCACAGAAAAAGGGGAGCATCCTCTGCCTTGTTGTGTGCAAGAACAGTGCCCCCTTGTGAGCTGGACTCTGAACTACAGAACCAATACAATACAGCCAGAAGGTGTCTAGCTAAAACAGATGGTATCTAGCTAAAACATTTGGTAAGTATTCTGCTTATTATTATCCAGCAGAATTGCCAACTTCACAAGTGTACCCTGCTTCATGATGTGCAGACATTAGCTGCTGACATTAATCTTCACCTCATCTATGCAAATTAAACAGCTTTTAAAAGCACAAGAGTAGGCCAGACTCCTTTTCTGATTAGCTGGCAACCTTCTACGGCCACCACTAAAATACAGGTGAGCAAGCACTACTTTACACAGAACATTTTGTATTTGTTAATGGAGCCTCAAATACAAAGCTCACACGTATGGTGCTGATTGTGAAGATCACCTGTGTGTATATTATCAGCTTCTCCCTTCTGGACACTTGATCCTTTTTAGACCCTGGCTTCTTTGTACTGAGAAGGAAAAAGGCAAATTTCAAGATGTCTTTCTGTCATTTCTCAGGACAAAGGACAACAGCTGAAAAAACAGTAATCACCAGTAAGATTTAAGTTAAATATATTTAATATATTTCTTTCAAAAGAAGCACATATTCCATACAGGATGAAAAATGGGGAATGGTCCAAAGCCTTAAAAGAATGCTGCACTTGAAGGACAGTTTATATCAGAGAAAACAAATGCTGCAATGGGTCGTGTGTTGATGTAACAATGGGAGCTGAAAAACAAAACCATCTCATAGTAATGGATCCTGAAACATTTATTTCTTGGACTAAGCATGTGGAGATGCAGAGTCTTAGCTGGGCAACTCAGATAATAAAAGCAACTGGAAAAAACGTGTTGACCCTAGATCTATTACAGATATTGGAGCAGAACTCTCAGCATTACCGGTGCCTAAAGACTCATTTCAGATGTTTTGGGGATTGGTGGGGGTGGTTATTGATACCAAGACAATTAGCAAAACTGCTGGAATCCATGGCAATGCTTAGTAAAGCACACCTTGACAAGGGGATGCAAAATAAACCTACAGGACTAAAGGGTCTGGAGGATGAATTGCAGAGGGTAATGTTGATAGAGCCCTCATATTCACACGAGGCTGCTGTCACCAAAAGAAAGCTCGGGGTATTACTGAAGTGTTGTGTGGTTAGAAGTGCAAATTTCGGATGCAAAGCCAGCATGTGCATTTGACCATGGCAGCAGGTGCAACCTTGGGAGTTTATCCTTCTGACCATGGAAAAAACTGTGTAAGTTCCTCTACTACAAGAAGTGCCACCAGATGAATGGAAAACCACTTGCGCTTTTGGCTGGTTTTAGTCCTTCAGTAACATCTGAAGCTGCTCTGAGAGCAGAACTGCACATTTATGCAGGAAAAAAATGGACTCTCCCATACCGGGTTAGTCGAAGTAAACATGAATGTGGAAGGATGCAAGGATATCCTATGCTAATGAGAGCATGTGTGTGCTTAACCTTTCCTCCATCCTCCATTTCCCCCCCATCTAACATGAGCACTACAGATCAACATGGGTTTAGGATTCTTTTGTTTGCCACACAACGTGTATTTCTGCCCTGAACGACTGCTATGAAAGAGAATCAACTTGTCAACTTTGAAGGCCAAATAGCAAACAATGCCTGGGTAGTGAGAGAGAGAGACAGAGAACTAGCTGGTCCAAAGTAAACATTTCAGAAGTACAAACAGCTTTTGCTCTCACAAAACTCCTCACATGTGCCAGTTAAATAAAAGCCACACTGTTCAGCATATGAGGAAGAACCCTAGTTCTTCAGGTACAGCATACAAGGTGACCGGAAGGATCTTTCCTGATCCTACTTTCTATGTTCCTAAGTGACATGGCTCCAGCTGTACTGCTCAAGTGTGAAATCTGAGAAATCTATCCTGCTGTCTCGGGGGAAAATGGGTAAGAATACCTTTCACATAATAGTGGAATTGAGCAGTCTTGCTTTTAACTTTTTAAACTCTCTTGTGGTCTCCCCCCCCCCCCAGAGGCCTTGCTCACACCTGGATTCGTGTTGTGGCGGAAGGGAACATGAGCAGCACATTCCCAATCCATTTTCCTTCCATGTGGCTCTGTGGCTGAACATGTGCTGCATCTCTGTGAGACAAGATTGCAGGAGGAAAAGGAGAATCCCCTTGCCCGGTGGAAGAGCTGGGTGGTTTGCATGAGATCCCCCAACTTGATCATCTCAACTTGTGAAAATGCAGGGGACTTGATTCTTCTACTTTCTCAAACGTGCTCCAGCAGTGCACATAACCATCTATGCTATAATGTCATTACAGTTACCTAAACTAGAAAAAAGTGCCACTTGAAATGAGGAACAGAACCACAGCTTCTAGCTTCTAAAGCAGGAAATATGAATGAGCACAGATGCATCCCGTGTATCAGGACAGAGCCTCACAGCATGCATGCACCCCTAAATGCTCTGGGACTCTCTCCTTCAGTACACAGGAACAGTCCTTCAATACCCTTGTGTCCCAGAGATGTTGTTGACCACTCACACTAGTTTCCTGGCAGATCTCCTAGGTTCAACAGCACAGAAGTGTCCAGTCTAGCCCTTTGCTTGCAAAATGTGGATTTAATTGATTTTAACTCATGGCTAGTTTGAAGACATACTCTTCTTTGACCCAAGACAATCTGCCAAGGGGATACAATTGTTTCAGAGACTTAAAACTGTACTAACAAGACCCATGAAAATTTGCAACATGTGCGCACCTACATGTTTCCTTCATCCTACTAATAGTACCATCTTAAACTGAGTTGTACCCTTCAATGGGATTAAAAGGGTGGAACTCTGCCTACAATAGCCCTGCAAGAGACTGACATCATCCGTGCAAATAGATAGAAAACTAGAAGTGCTATGGGTGACAAAGCACAGGAACTGGGATTTCAGCTGTGGCATGCTGCCACAAACCTTTGCCATGGCATGAAGAGATGTGTAGGTGCACCAAGGAAACATTAAAAATAGGCATATAACAACACGGAAATATGGCTCCCAGCAATGGAATTCTTAGCTTCTAACAATATTCTGCCATCAAACCAATTACATAAAGAGTTGCTGAATTTGTAAGCACTTATGGACTTTGTTGAATATAGTTACTTTTCTTTTGTTATTTGCATATCAGAGACATATCTGAATACTCTCATCTAAAACTGTTTTGTAATTTAATTGGAAAATCTGTATGCACTAAGACCTCTTTTCCCCTATGTACTTAATTTGCAATGTTCATAACTAATTTTGTGTGTGTGCATAATAAAAAAATTAATTGGAAAAAAAAGGAGCATAAAAGGCAATACCTTTAAAATGTGAGCACCTTGTGTGACTGTTACGGGTGCATGTTTCCTGCCACTTGCAGTTTGGCTAGACATTGAGAGGTGTGTGTATGTGGGAGAAAAGGAGAACACTATAGCACCAAAGGCACCACTGACACAGTGGCTATGTGCAGTGGTTGCACACCCACTCTTCTTTAACACTGCCATCTAGAGGCATCTGGGACATTTCTGTGGTACTCTCTTCCTTATGGAGCATGCTTTAAAAAGGGGGGGGGGGAGGTCTGCTTGTCTGCTAATGAAAAACTACCAACAAGAAGCAAGACATAGCTATCCAACAGCTATCCAACAGGTAGACACTGTTATGTACGCTAAAGCATGTCGTTGTCTGAGTCCTCCATGCGGCGAACCCCGTACTTTTCAGACACCCCCTTAAACTTAAGAATGCCGAGAAGCAAGAAACAAAGACACTCTGGCTTACTGTAAACACTGCAAATTTGCAATGCTGGGGAATAGTGGCCAGCAACTAAGTCACTTGCAGAGGCATGATTCTTTGATGATGGGAAGAAGGACTGTGTCCTTGGAGAGTTAAAGTGGGATGCCAGCATGGCAAAGCAAACAGTACAGCCTAGTTGTGACAAGGCAGAAACAGCAGAGAGAGAGCTTTGCAAACAGGACAAGAACATTCTTTGTTCTTCATCAAATCAGGGTTTTGACAGTTCCAAGAGCTGATTTTTTTTTTTAAACAACTTTCCCTAGAATGTGCCTCTTACACGGGAGTGTAGTGCCTCTTACACGGGAGCCGAGACAGGCAGCAATCTCTGCTGCAAGCGGAAAGGACTGTCTGCAACACCCCCGACAGCAGCTGTGGAGGGCCAGCTCTCTTGGTTTGGCCCAAACGTACCCTTTATGTGTGCTTTGGGCTGTGGCAAAGAGACACTTTACTCCATTCGGCACTCCGCCCCCCCCCCCGGCCCCCCACTATAATCAGCAATGTCCGCTGCAGACAGGAGCTTATGTCAGTCTTCCTTCCTCTTTGAGCTGTTTTTCTCCTTCAGGATATGCATCAGGCGGCAGAAGAGCTCATACCAGAAAAAGGTGAAGCCTGTTGAAAATGCAGCCTTCAACAGGCTTGGGGAGAGGCCCTTGTAGAATCCACTGGCTCCCTCATCCTGCAGAATCTGTCGGGCACAGTCCATTAAACCGCTGTACGTCCGCACCTGGAGAGAAAAGGGAGCAAGAGCACAAATCCAGCCACTGTAGGAAGTCATGTGCAGGCATGTCTACCAAGGAAAAAGAGATGCACCAACAGCTTCTCTGTGCTCTCAGGAGCCCTAGCCTCTCCCTGAATGAGAGTGAGAAGACAAACAGTCAGGTATCTTCAATTGCTTTCCTCCAGTGCAAGCGGGAGTGGAGGTGACACTGTTCTAACACCTGCACAACACCTACAAAAGAACTGATAGCAGGGGTGGGGAGAATGGGGTTGAGAAATTAATCTTTAAAACACCCTACTGGGCACATGCAAGAAACTGTACAACTTTTCAGCTCTGCAGGGACAGAATGATCTTTCCAGCAGGAAAATCTTACTTCTTTGCTTAGAGCAGCTTGTAATGATACTGGCACTCAAACCTGTTTGCTTTATAAAACAATTTTAAACAAGGGAAATTGCAACCAAAAAATAGAAAATGGGAGATTGTAGCAAGCCCAAACCACTTCTTTCCTCTCCATGTTTGGGGAGGGTTTTTAGCTCTGTTGGTAGAGCATATGCTTGGCATACGGAAGGCCCCAGGTTCAGTTCTTGGCATCTCCAGCAAGGATCAGGTTGTAGCTGATATGAAAGACCTCAGAGCCACTGCCAGTCTGAACAGACAATACTAACTTTGCTGGATCAATGGTCTGATTCAGTATAAAGCAGTTCCATGTGTTCACTGGTGTGGGACAAACTTAAAAGAAACACTCACCCCCAGACCTCAGATAGTTGTACTACTGTCGCATTTGCAGTCTCTGTAAGGGCTGTGGTGAGCAGAGGGGACCCAAGCCTGTTGTAACTGTTATTCATTGAGGTATCTTCTGTGCAGGCACACACTGGGACTGTGCATGAGCAGGTCAGCCACGGGAGACTCTTACAGCTACTTAAGAATTTTTCCACTCCAGGGGAGCCCCTCCCCCGCAAAGCTCCCCACCCAACAGCCACATGCTCTGCAGGGTGGAACTCTCCTCTCTCCCTCAGTCCTCCTGAGTCACCCCGAGCATCATGAACATCACTGTATCCTATGAAACTCACAGCGGGGCAGAAGGGAGGGAATGTGTACTTTCAGAGAAGATGCCTTGATGAATGACTGTTATAGGTAAGTGCAACACTGTTTTCATCTTCAATCTTCTGCGCAGTCTCATATTGGGAGACTATAAAGCTCCTTATCTTGGAGGTGGAGTGAGTTTCAGTGGAACAATGAATGTGCATGGCTCTGCCAACTGCGGAATCTCTTCTCGTATTCATGTCCACAGAATAGTGCTTGACAAAGGTGTCCGATGATGACCAAGTCACTGCTTGACAGAAGCCCTCCAAAGGGGTGCCTCTCTGGAATGCCGCTGATGCTTCCTACACCCGTGTAGAATGTGCCCGAAAGTCCAGAGGGCATGGCAGACCTGCCTGTTTATATTGTTGTTCAGTCGCACAGTTGAGTCTGACTCTTCATGACCCCATGGACTACATCACACCAGGCCCTCCTGTCTTCTGCCGTCCTCTGGAGTTTGCTTAATTTCATGTTCGTTGCATTGATAACACTGTCTAACCAACTCATCCTTCTCAGAACCATCACTCTTCTTCTTTGACCTTCAGTCTTTCCCAGCATCAGGGTCTTCTCCAGGGAGTGCTCCCTTCTCCTTTGGTGGCCAGAGTATTTGAGCTTCAGCTTCAGTATCTGGCCTTCCAGGGAACAGTCAGGGTTGATTTCTTTTAGGATTGATTGATTTGAGTCCAAGGGACTCTCAAGAGTCTTCTCCAGCACCATAATTCGAAAGCATCTATTCTTTGGCACTCAGCCTTCCTTATGGACCAACTCTTGCAGCCATACATTACTACTGGGAATATCATTGCTTTGACTAGGAGGTGTGGCGTCGAGGGCAATGACGGTGGAAGCTTAACTTGGTGCTCCGTGCTCCCTTCCTATCTCCCTATGTCCTCCTTGCAACTTTACTTACTTTTTCACTTTGAGAGGTATGGCTAAGTCTGGGGGAAGTAAAACGTCACCAAATACTTCAATGCAACAATCTTTGAAGCCCTTTTTTCGGCAAATACCACTAAGGCCTCCTGACCACACCCCTCAGATGACAAATCCAAGATGGCTGCTGAAGAAGACGGGAAAGCTCCAGGGATTACAAAACAAGATTCAATGGACTCTTTTCATTCATTTGAGAGAAAATCAATGGTATGTTATCACCAACTTCTGTGTGTTTGGATGAAATCGGGACTGCACTGCATAAAGTGGCAGGTACAGCAGAAGCAGCAATAGAGACGGCTCTCTTTGCCCAGGAAGATGTTGAACATTTGCAGTGTAAAAACTTTGGGCAAGAGATAAGATTATACAACTTGGAAATACCCTCCGGCAGCACCACCTGAAATTTAGAGGCATTCCCAAAGGTGAAGAAAGCGACTACAGATATTGTTATCTTTTTATCCACTTGGTTAACATCAGCCTTAAACTTGGAAGAGAAGATAGCTCCAACTATTTTCAAGGCATTTCATCTTGAATCACTTAACCACCCACAATTTAAAGGCCCCCAGGACATCATAGCCGAATTTCTAGATGATCGTACCAAAAAGTCTATTGTACAGGTAGCCAGGACCAACGTTTTTAATTATTTAAAAACGTTAAAGTTTTAGTTCTATTAAACCTGGCACCAGAAGCTCTTAGCAAAAGATGTGCTTTACAGCCTATCTCCTCTAAACTGAATGAGGCTAACATCAGATTCCACTGGTCTCCTTCTAGCAGTATAACTGTTTCACACCAGGGATCTATTCTTACGGCTTCAGATATTGAAAGTGGCCATTTACTCCTACAAGCTCTCAACTTGAAACCAAAAGCCGACCCATTGAAAAGATCCATTAAGAGAAAATTGGATTTTACCATCACTGCCCTGAAATGGAATAGTTTCAGCACGACACAGACTTTGATTTACCTTCTACATCAGACAATGGAACTATAGCTTTGGGATTTCTGTTATTTTGGGTTTACGATTTTACATAAGTTTATTGTATTAATGCTTAAGCCTCTTTGAAGTTCTCTGACCAGATAGTGGGAGGGGAGGGGGCAAAAGCTGGATGCCTCCCTTTGGGATTACGTCTCAGCAGTGGGGTTTATACTCACTTCCTGCAGGAGTTGGTTATCTTGCAGGTTCTGTAGACTTTTTTTTGTTTTTATTCTGTTTCTATTCTCAGGGGATACTATAGTTCTCACAGTAGTATTTGTGAAGTACATAACTTATCTATGTTTTTTGACAGACTTAAGAGCAGTCTATGCAGATATAATAGGCTTACTTCTTTTTTTCTTTTTTGTCTGGGGGGGTGGAAGCTTAAACTTTTTAGTTTTAACCCTTTAGATATATACATGTTAGCTTTAGTATTAGAAGTTCTGAAGGATCAAACTGGTTTGACTATAAGGTTGTTGGTATATTAGCAGAGAGAGGAAGAATAGATGGATATGTTCTTCAGCTCCTTTTTCTTTTTAATTGGTTAGTTCTTAGGATTGGTAGTAGTTTTATTTTATATTTGGAAAGGTTGTGTGATAGTTTGAACATTCCTTGGCATTGCCCTTCTTTGGGACTGGAATGTAAATTGACCCTTTCCAATACTGTGGCCACGCATTTTCCAAATTTGCTGGCATATGGAGTACAGCACTTTAACAGCATCATCTTTTAAGATTTTGAATAGCTCAGCTGGGATACCATCACCTCCACTAGCTTTGTTGTTAGTAATGGTTTCTAAGGCCCATTTGACGTCGCACTCCAGGATGTCTGGCTCGAGGTCAGTGATCGCACCGTCTTGGTTGTCAAGGCCATTGAGGTCCTTCTTATATAGTTCTTCTGTGTAATCTTGCCACCTCTTCCTAATCTCTTCTGCTTCTGTTAGGTCCCTACCGTTTTTGTTCTTTATCATGGCCAGCTTTGCACAGAACGTTCCCTTGATTTCTCCAATTTTCTTGAAGAGATCTCTAGTCCTTCCCATTCTATTGTTTTCCTCTATTACTTTGTATTGTTCATTCAGGAAGGCCTCCTTATCTCTCCTTGGTGTTCTCTGGAAATCTGCATTCAGTTGGGTAAATCTTTCCTTTTCACCTTTGCCTTTCGCTTTCCTTCTTTCCTCTGCTATTTGTAAAGCCTCATCAGACAGCCACTTTGCTTTCTTGCATTTCTTTTTCTTTGGGATGGTGCTGATTGCTGTCTCCTGTACAATGTCATGAACCTCCGTCCATAGTTCTCCAGGCACTCTGTCTATCAAATCTAGTCCCTTAAACCTATTCTTCACCTCCACTGTATATTCATAAGGGATGTGATCTAGGTCAAACCTGAATGGCCTAGTGGTTTCCCCAACTTTCTTCAGTTTAAGCCTGAATTTTGCAATGAGTAGCTCATGATCTGAGCCACAGTCAGCTCCAGGTCTTGTTTTTATTGACTGTATAGAGCTTCTCCATCTTTGATTGCAAATTATATAATCAATCTGATTTCTGTGTTGCCCATCTGGTGATGTCCATGGGCAGAGTCGCCACTTAGGTTGTTGGAAGAGGGTGTTCTCTTGACAAAACTGTTAGCCTTTGCCCAGCTTCATTTTGTTCTCCAAGGCCAAACTTGTCCATTATTCCAGTTACCTTTTGACTTCCTCCTTTAGCATTCCCGTCCCCTATAATGATAAGGACATCTTTTTTTGGTGTTAGTTCTAGGAGGTGTTGTAGGTCTTCACAGAACCCTAATCTAATAGCAGAGACTATCCACTTAGAAATGGTCTGTGCTGAGGCTGCCTTTCCCCTTGAGTTACCCGAGTAGCACACAAAAAGGTGTGGGGACTGCCAGAAACCCTTTGTTTTGTCTATATAATAAAGACCTCTTTCTATCTAAGGAATGCAATGTCTTTTTGGCCTCTGAAGTGGGGGAAGGAAAAATACTGGGCAGATGATGTCCTGAGCAAGGTGAAAGCTGGAAACCACCTTGGGCAAAAAAACGTAAACTGGATCTCAGAACTACATGGCTAGCCTGAGATTTAATGAATGAGTCATCAACCCTCAAAGTTGCTAATTCTCCAACTCTTCTTGCTGATGCGATTGCCACCAAACATGCAACCTTAAATGACAAGAGTTACAAACTACAAGCGCCTAAGGGTTCGAATGGGGCTCACATGAGTTGGAAAAGCACTACCGGCAGTGATCACTATAGGTGGTTGTGGGGGAAACAAGTTAAACTGACCTTTCAAAAAACCTTTGGACACTAGATGAGAAAATAGCATTTTGTCTTGTACCTTGGCATGACAGGCCAATATGACTGCCAAATGTACCTTAAGGGAAGCGACTGCTAGGCCCGATTCTTTGAGTGCCAGCAGATATTCAAATACCAAGGCAATAGGGCAATTCTCTGCTTGAACTCCCTGATTTCTAGCCCAATTATGAAAATGAAGCTACTTGCTCATATAAGACCTTCTTCTGGACAGTTTGAGAGCATTAAGAATAATATCGGCTACCTGGTAGGAAAATCTGAATTGGGATTGTTCAGCAGCCAAGCTGTCAATTTGAGCTTGTTCACTTCATGGTGAACCATAAGACTCCTGTGGAGCAAGTCTGCAGCTAAGGGAAGGTGTACATAGAGGCCCCTGGATAGTGACAGAAGGACTTCGAACCCAACTTGTCTGGGACAAAATGGAGTGAACAGAATGCACCATGTGTTTTCCTCCCGGATTTTTGCCAACACCTTGTGGATAAGTGGAAATGGCAGGAATGCATAAAAAAAGAGTGCCTGTCCATCAAATCTGGAATGCATCGCCTAGAGAGAGATGATCGGCACCCACCCTGGAACAAAAAACTGGGGCTTTCATATTGGTGTGGGTGGCAAAAAGGTTCACTCCTGAAAAACCCCACTGCTGAAAAATTGGGCAAATATACTTGTTCTCCAGACCATTCATGTTCCAATTGTTTCGTTCTGCGGATGATGTCTGCCCTTGTATTCACAGTACCTGCTACATATACTGCTTGGAGGCAGGAGCCTTGTGCTATGACCATTTTCCAAATAAAGATGGCTTCCCTGCACAGGGCTGCTGAGACTGTGCCCCCTTGCCTGTTTATATAGGTCATTGCCGTAGCATTGTCTATAACAACCTACATGACCTTCCCCTTGGTGAGCTCTGCAAATGAGGTAAGGATGTAACGTACTGCACCTAACTCTAAGAGGTCAATGTGGAAACTCTTTTCTTCTGTTGACCACACATCCTGAACTGAGAAAGACCCACAGTGGGCCCCCAGCCTTGTAATGAGGCATCAGAGGTCATAGAGATCTGTGGTCTCCTCTCCCCAAATGATACTCCCGCAAGGAGTTACCATCGCACAACCACCAGCCCAATTGCTTCACTACAGACCTGGGTGCTGTGAACCTAGTATGTTGGGAATGTAACTCAGGGCAAAATTTACTTTAAAAACATTTTGGCAGGGGTCACATCCTCAGGTGTGCCTGTGGGGTCGTGGTTGTGGTAGAAGCTGTCAGGGCCTAATAGTTTCTGAAAAAACAGTTGAAGGCTACTGTTGGACAGGCATCTAATCAGAGCCTTGATGTGCAATGCCCTATCTACTGTGGCATCCAGACAGGCCCTAATAAAGGAAACCCACTGGGACTGTTGGAGGCGTGATTTCCCTTTATTAATTACCAAGCCCAATTCTTGGCATGTTTGTAAAATCAGAGAAACTTGTAACTCCAGTTCCTTATAGGAAGGTGCTGTAATCAGCCAGTCATCCAGGTATGGATAAACAGAACAACCCTTGGACCTTAAGTGTGCCACTACAACAGCAACACAGAGAAGACTGCAATTGATGAATCCTGAAAGTGTGTCAAGGCCTGTACAGAGTGGCAGGACCTGCTGTGATGCCAAACGACTGAGCTGTTTGTTTTTCTTGATATGTGATAACAGATTGCCCGTAGATGAAGCAAATAAAGTCGTTCCCTCAAACGGGAGATCTTCCACCTTCTGTCTGGTGTCAGGCGGGAGTGCTGTGGACTGAAGCTAGCGTGCCTTCTCAACACTAATGCTGAAGCCATGGCTCTGGAAGAAGAGTCAGCGGAGTGTCTGCCTGCATTAATCTGCTGTTTGGATAGGCCTCTTGTCCTCCAGCAGCAGCTCAATATAAGCAGCCATCTTTTCCCAGTGGAATAATTGGTAGCCTCCCATAATCACACCACAGTTAGAACTACGTAGGTTAAGTGCTGCAGCCGAGTAAACTTTTCTACTAAGATCGTCAATTTTTCACCCTTCCCTATCGGCTGGTGAATGTGCACCTGTACATTGTTTTGCCTGCATCTCCTCTGCTATAAGAGATCAAGCTGGAGGGTGGCAGAATAAATAGGAATGTCCTTCCTGCTGTACCCTATATACATTTTCCACCTTTCTGGATGTAGCCGCCATGCTGGCTGGCTTCTGCCATAGGGCCTTGGAGATGTCAGAAATACCATCCAGGATAGGGAAGGCGATTATACCAGGTGCCTCCGGGTGCAGCTTGCACAAGATCTTGTCCCGTGGTTTTGGGTTGCTGGAGGTCACCTCTTTTTCTAGCAAACTGGCCATTCTCATCATCTGCTCTGCACAGAGCTTTAGATCTTCACTAAGTGAAACTGGGTCTGGATCCCCTACCATGTCATCAGGGAAAGGGTCTGATGGCAGATCTGAGCCTGGGCTGGAAGGAGAGCCAGCTCCCAAAACCTGTTTGTCTTCTGAATCTGGATGACCCATAGGGTGTTGAGGAGAAATTGTAGGAGGATACCAAACTGGTGGACCTGTGAACAAGTACGCTTCGGTACTGGGGGCACTTCCCTTGATTGCCATTCACCCCAGTCCTGTGGTCTGTGCGAGGGAAAATAATAATAGCTCTGCCAAGGAAGCGCTGGCACAGGGTTGTGCCATGGCACCGGAGAGGATGGTTCTGGTAATCAGCCCACTGCTGGAACCATAGGTGCACCTTGGCCCAGTTCTATCTCACCCTCTGAAAATGACTGTGTTGGGGAGACATGTGAAGGTGTTCATGGAGGACGGAGCTCCTTCTGTTCCATCAGAACGTTAAGCTGGTTGGAACCAAAGAGCTTACCTATTGTGTTGCCTTGGAACTGGACTGATGTTTATGTTTCATTTTGGAATGGGCATTCTTAGGTGCAGGTTCCAATGTGCGGTGTTCCTCAGAGTGAACGGACAATCGGACCCAACACTTTGGTTCAGTCCCTGCAACCGACAGAAACGAGATGCTCGATGGCAGGCTCGCAAGTTGGTCAGTTCTGGCTGGTAATTTTGAAGGCAAGGACAGTTTGCTCTGCCAGAGGCAGATGTCTTTGCTGCCGGGCTACTGGAGCAGGAGAGTGCTTTCCCCCCATAAACTTACTTTTAAGCGTGCCGCCTGATCTGGTCAGGCCTTGGGTGTAAACTAGAGGCAGATTTTACACGTGGTCATGTTATAAGCCTCACCCAAACAGAAAAGATAACTTAAACGCTCATTTGAGCGAGTCGTTTTTGTACCGCATTGGGCACATTTTTAAAAATTAGCCTTCTGCAACATTCTCAAAAATAAGTGAGGGATTCCAGGAAGAGGAAACTTTGAGAAAAAAACCTCACAATCTATAGTAGCTGAAGGAGAGGACGTCCTCAGAATAAGGCAGTGAAAAAAGGACCAAGGGAAACGGGGGAGCTCCCACCTGCAGGGCACGTGGCTGCTGGACAGGACAAGGGCCTCTAGGAGTTCTGTGGAGGAGGGGCTCCCCCCTGTAGTGGAAAAATTCTAAAGTAGCTGTTAAGAGAGCCCCTGGTGGCTGGCTTGCGCAAGCACAGTCCCAATATGGGACTACATAGAAGACTGAAGATGAACCACTCACCTTTTCCTCTCTGGCATCTTCCATTTTAGAGTGTCAAACAAGCAAGGGAGGAAACTGGCAACATATGAGCCAACTGAATAAGATGTGGCTTGAGAATTTGCTAGAACAAAGACTGTAAGGTAAAGTCTGGACTCGGCCAAAGGGCAAGAGCCAAAGGGCTGCTGGCCCTTGGCTTTTACCCCCCAGTCCTGTGTGAACCATGTCAGCAGAAGCAGCACCAGCCAGGATGTCTTTGTGGATTATCACCAGTTTTAAATTTGACAGGGTTTCTGATGGGTTGTGTATTTTTGTTCGATTTTTTATTTTTGTGTATTTTACTCCACAGAGTAGAAGAAAACTAGAATAAATATATTTAAATAAATAAATGAGTGGTGGGAAGGAAAAGAAACTTTGCACAAATATCACAGAATGGCTCACAGGGGATGTTGTTACAGGGTATCTTTTTATTGCTGATGCTGGTTTATCTTTTGCTTACATTAGGAATAAATATACATTCTCGAACTGTATTAGTATACTAAAAGGGAGGTAGAAGGAAAGAAAGGTTACATGCAATTTGAACCATCTCTCACCTGCCCAAATGTTGCCCGGGCTTGCTCAAAGCCTCCCACCTGCAGTCGCTTCTTGAACAGGTCAAAAGGGTAAGTGAGGGTTTTGCTGATGACTCCAGCACAACTGCCGCACATGAAACTTTTAACACTGCCTGAAAAGCAGAGAAGATGGGAAGGGAGGATTGTTTCTCAAAGGGAAGGGCATGTGATTTCTTCAGAAAAATCTGAAAAGGTAAAAAAAAATACTTGCAGGGTTAACCTTCCTCCCAAGCTAAAGCAATATCTGAGCATTGTCAGATGGCGGTGTAGGAAAAACCTCTTTTAGTAAGATTTTAGGTTAGGAGGTGGGTAGTTGAGCAGGGTACGAGGAAGGGGGGTGAGCAGCAGGCAGAAAGTTGGGGGTTACAGAAAAGTAGATGGAGCACTCCCACAAGCCCCTCTTTAACCCCCTGGGGATGACTGCAAGGGTCCTACTTTGACAGTCATCCTTGGGAGGTTAGAAAATGGCAGATGGTAGGACTGCCCCGGAAACTGTGCTTTCTCATCCCTATGGACTGCTAGAAATGTGGGACTGGTGCTATCTTTCCAGCCCTTCTCAGGGCTGTCAAGAGAGTTGCCACAGTCTTACAGCCTTGAGGTTGACTGGAAAGGTGGGCCCAAGTTGTTCTATGCTTGCCTGAGCATGGCAAACTCTTTGCGTCATTGTGGCCACCCTTGGACAATCTAAAAACACACACGGCATTTTGTTGTGGCTTGGCATCTGTACTTCACTATTACTCAAAGAGAATGACCAGTAATCAAAAAGGATATCACAATACTTGGAAAGACTGGGTGGCACAGGAAAAGAATGAACTGGTAAAGCATCCATCTGTACTATTATTAGTTATTTACACCGTCTGCCTGAAACTACCTTTGTCAAGTTGTTCTATAGTAGGACAGAGTTCCCCTATCACTTCTCTCTACAGCTGCTGCACCAAAGACTAACCTGCTTTTGATCCTGGAACAATCCATTCATACAGTCTCATCAGGAAGTTATATAAGGAAAACTGGAGGCCAGCATAGGGGATAATTGCAATGATGGTTGGGCTGAGACCCCTATAAAAGGTCAGCGGCCCTTCTCTCTGGTACATGTTGATCACAGCATGGCGGAGGTTCCTGTAAATCTACAACAATACAAAAGGGAGCAAGTTTCTTTGTGTGAGCAATCAACAAGGGCTTTTTGAAATCGATACTGCTCCCCATTCTCCACTGAACATCAGACTTCAACCAACACTCACAAATGGTGTAGGGAATGGAACTTCTGAAAATTAGGTTGCGTGGCTACTTAATGCTTCCTCAGTTTCTAGCCACATTCTAGGTATGTGCTCCAACACTCTGATCAGCATACTAATCCTTACCTCACAAAATCTCCAATTTGATACAATGTTTAACTATACAAAAAAATTTATGCAATAGCAAATTTGTATAAACTGCATTGATTTGCGTAACTTATTTTGAATGCAGAAAGTTTTTACTGACATGGAAGAAAGCATCCCTGAACACGGGATTTGGATTTGTGTTTGGGGAGGAGCAAGGTCAGTGCTCTGGCCCCTTCTGCATCTTGTCCTTAGCTCCGTCTGTCTTGGCCGCATCTCATCTAATATTTTCCAATCCCAGCTGCTCATGTAAGTGCTTTTCTCCTGTAAATAGTCAATATGGTCAAGGGAAATTGGATTTTGATTGCTGCACAGTGCATTCCTCTCTATTCCCACAGCTCTTTCAGAAAGCTCCTTTCCAGGGTCACAGGACCTGCCCACAGGACTATCTGCATGAGTAATGGTGCCGGAGTGAAAGAGGGACAAGGGAATGAAACTGCTCCCTCCTCTCAGCAGAGGTACGCTTGCAAAAGAGGGAGGAGAAGCCATTTCTTCCCCTTGACCCTCCTCTCTCTAGCTACCCAACCTGCACAGCTATTCTCCCGGAGAACTATCTTCCTGGGAATCAAAAGGGGCTACAAAAATGGAGAGCAATGTGAGAAAACTCCATGTTCCATATACACAGATAGGTTTATACAGACCATAAACTTCAGGCACAAAATGGTGCCTCCAGAGTTAGCAAAAAATCCCTGTGTGCAACAATACAAAAATAAATATCAACCAACAGAAAAGTTCACATTTGGGATTATTTGATGGTAGCTATGCAAAGCAAGTAAAGTCAAGGAACCATTGCAAAAGGCACCTCAGCACCTCAAAGGATAGCACAGCATGAATGGTGGTTCCTCTCTAAAGAAGAACCATCTGTCGGTTCCTCTTACCTTCCTCCTCAAGATCACTTGTCTCCTCTCTTTGCTTCTTTCTCCTGTTCCTGTCTCTGCTGGCCTATCAGAATGACACTTCAGTGCTCTGTATTTCACGCTGCTTCCCTCTCGTGCGTCAAATCAGCACCTCAAAGGATAGCACAGCATGAATGGTGGTTCCTCTCTAAAGACAAACCATCTGTCGGTTCCTCTTACCTTCCTCCTCAAGATCACTTGTCTCCTCTCTTTGCTTCTTTCTCCTGTTCCTGTCTCTGCTAGCCTATCAGAATGACACTTCAGTGCTCTGTATTTCACACTGCTTCCCTCTCGTGCGTCAAATCCCTTCTCAAGACCCAGCTTTTTAATACACTTCCCGGACCCATGTTAGCCCCACCTCTTGCCCCTCAACTGCCATGTGACACTCTCAGCACCACTCCTCATTGTCAGTTTCCAAACACTTCCCCAGTTTAATCCCTCTAGGGTAAGTGTGTAAATCTTCTGATAAGGACTGTGTCATTTATTTGTCCTAGATAGTTCTTTCACATCAGTGGTGTAGAAGAGCCCAATGTGCTTCAAAGATCACTAGGTGGCCATCATCCAATTTGGAAGAGGGCACTTCCGATCCGAAAAGTAGCCACATAACATTGGAACCAGACTGAAAAGGCCCCTCACCCAACTCTTACCTTTGGTTCTCCTTGGGCAGCCATGCGGGTGCGCAGTGTGTCAAGGGGCTGAACCGTGACAGTGGCAGCAGAGGCAGCCAAACCACCACAGACAAAATGCACACCAAAGTTACGAGCATCATACGATGTGCCATCATGGACCAGCTTTGTCAGGAACTCAAAGCTGACAAACTTGCATAAGAAGACAAGAACAAACAACAGAAATGAGTACATTTGGGCTAGGTGAAGGAAGACAAGAGCTACCCACAGTCTCCCAGTAAGTGTAGCCAATGAAACCTCTCAAGTGCAACTGACTTATGGCAACCCCAGCAAGGGGCTTTCAAGGCAAGTGAGAAGTGGAGGTAGTTTGCCATTGCCTTCCCCTGCAGAGTCTTCCTTGGTGATCTCTCATCCAAGTACTGACACTGCTTAGCTTCTGAGATCAAGCTAAACCACCCCCCCACAAGACATACCATCCCACAAATGCATCATACGCTCCAGCAATACCACTCCCCCCCCCCCAATTAAGAGGGGGATCTGAGCAATGCTTAAGGCAACAGTACTACATACACTTGCCCTGGGAACAATCCTGGCTGAGCAACGCGGGATTAATTTCTGGGTAGAAGTCCATACTACTGGGTCATCAGTCCCACTGATTAATTGTGCTTCCATCAGAGTACTCTAGCTTTATGGACTGGTCCCAAATTCTTAAAAGTACAGAATTATGGCTATTTACAGGAAAACTCTTACGTGAATGCTTCACCTTAACACCTGAGAAAATAGGCTCTTGGCCAATGAAAACTCAGTAAATATTAAGTTTACCTGTGAGTAAACAAGATCACGGTTTTATTGTGGCTTTTGTTGTGGCTGATATGGCTATTCTTGTGGCATGTTTCCCTTTCAACTTCCTTCTTGAGCCCCCTTTTCATAATAATTCATAGAGCCTCTATTGCCTTGCAACAAAGTCCACCCACATCCTAACAAGATGTTACTGTGGCCTCTTCCCAAAGCACAGCACACAAGAGAGGATGAAAAGATCATAGCAATATCACAGTCAGAGGTGGATCAAACCACCTCACAACTACAGGACAAGAAGAATGCAATAGTTTTGAACTATCATGCCGCAAAGTCCCAGTTGACAACAGAACCCCTGTTTCGATCCACTGAACACTTCTGTAGATGGAAGGAGTTCCCATCAATGGCGCTTGATTCCCTCACCTCCCTGCTCCCAATGCAGAAGCCACATTTTGGAGCGGCATTTGGAGCTGCGGTGGGAGTAAGGAGGGGGGAAACTCACCCTTCACAGGAAAAAAAATTCTCCCATTTGTGGAAACACTCTGGTGAACTTAAGCCCCAGTCTTCAATACTTGGCATTCTCCCAAAATCAAACCACTCCATGTCAGCATCTTAATTATGGCAAAGTGACTCACAAAATGGTGATATCAGTCTTTGGAGACAGACCAATGAAATGCAGCTCCAATAAAAAGAGGGCTGCTGGAGGGAAGAGTTAACCTGAAGCATTTTCTGATTCTTACCTGGACAGCTCCATAGCTGACCGAGAGGAGCTGAGCTGGGACGTGGCCCTTCCAGAAAGCCTTTGGCCCTTCTTCCCCCCAAATTTGGCCAATGGCCTGCCAGATACCATGATATTTAGCCTGTGGGTTTCTGGAACACAGTTGTTCTATCTGGAGCTGAGGAAAGAGGAAAGGGAGCTTTCAGTTGTGATGTTTGAAACTTAAAGCATCTGAGGGTGTGAACAAGTTTTGTTTTTAAGAAGGAAAATGAACTGGGTTCAAATCTCGTATCTTGGGGTGCAATGCCAGAACAACATTTTAAATGGAGAAAAAAATGTATACAATAAAATGGATAAACAGACATGAAGAATTTCAGAGGTACTGGAGGAAAGCCAAACCTCAAAACAGGGCACAGCTGTAATCAAATATAAAAGGGGCTATGCCTTCTGATCCAAGGGTGTGTCCATTACAGTTCAGGGTGCCATGACCTAGGTAAAGGAGCTACATGAAGCTTTGCCAAAGACTGTTTTACTTTAAGGACAATCTCTAGCTCCTTTAAAAGCTGCACTGGAGATCTGTGCCCAGAAATAGTTTGGTTGCACCTGTTGTACAGTGGTTAAAAACAGCAACTCTAATTGTAGCCCAGGTTATTTCTTTAATGGGTGACCCTCTGGAAATGCAAGGCTATTTAAAAAAATCAGCTATTACTATTTGAATCGCAACTATTCTGGTCTCTTTGTTAATGACTTCCACATCTCTTTTCCAAGTACAGTCTCATGTAACCCTACGTGAATAGCCTTTCAGTTGAACATAACTTTGAATAGTTATGTGTTTAGGTGCTTCCCCCAATGAGGCCACATACCACCATTCTAACTTGGGTCACAGCCTCTTAACCAGCTTTAACAATAATCTGCTGAGAGATGAGAATGCTGAAGATCCAGTATAACGAACCATTAACCCAAACAGTAATATGCAGGGTTGATCACCAGCTTAGGCCTGCGTTAGTAACACCAGAAAGAACAACTTTCTTCCTACTTTTTAAAACCCATCCACTGTAATGCTGGATTGTTGTCACACAAGTTGCTCAAAGTAGCACCTGAAAACGGATCTTCAGAACATCAAAGGGGCCAATCAGTGCTCGAGTGACCAACCCAGATGCAGATCCCGCTAGTGCTATTTCCACTGCTGAGAGGGACTTGCACTGGGAATTGGGGTCATAGCCAACCATCCCTCCACGATCCAAAGGCTGCTTCAGTATCCATCCACTCCTGTGAATGCTGCCATTGATGGGCAAGAAAATAAGAGTTCCAGCTGAGAAGTCTGCTTCAAACTGAAAAACACAGAAGGTATAAATCAGGTCTACTCACGGTTGGGAAGCTAGACAGTGCCTGCCCCCAGACATGACTGGTGTGCATGCACTGGAATCTGTGTACATAGAGTTTAATGCACACAAAATTAATCTACATGACATTTAACACATGCATTCTACAAACCCAGCTGTTAGACAAACCTGGAGGGCAGGTGTGCCTGGGCACGGGAGGGTGGCACAATCCTACCTTTTTGTCACCTATAAAGACTGTACACATATATATGTAAACAGGGCATTAGAACTAAGCAAACTGAAACAGAACCCATATTGTTTTAGTCATACTATAAAGGCAACTTTTCAACAAAAAATTAGCCAACTGACAAATACATTTCTGCTCAATGCTATGTAACATGATATCTCTCCCTTATATATAAAGGCATAGTGGGCTCCAACGTTCCAAAATGCACACCTTTAGTGTATGGACGCTTGAACTGTCAGTCAGAAGACGCTGGCTGGGTTGACTGGCTGCTTTGTGCAGTCCCACCCAGCGTTTCAAGGTCTTTTGCATATGGAAGCTGATTGGACTTCACTCCATTCCACCCCTCAAACTCCCCCCCCCCGCAAGGCAGTTGGAATGTCAGTTGCAATATGGGAACTACTGTATTCTGAGGTAACATATGTCCTCACTCACTACACATCACTTCCCCTTTAAAAGAAACAAACCCAATAACACAATCACGCCACACCACAAAGAAGACAGATCACACCACAAGCAGAATACCTCAAGGCAAAAAATGATAGGAAAAGGTGCCAGCAGTCACCCCATTACTGCCACAGATGGTGTGCAGGTCCCAGGTTCATGTTTTAAAAGC